GGAACACAATGAAATTATTTCAGTATTTTTAACCAGTAATCTACACAATTCAGCTTCTCGTGCTGTTCTCAGATATCTGACTCTGGAGCTGGAGCTCCTTCCCTTACAGCATTGAGAGCTCACGTGGGAAGATAGAGCTGTTAAGGCAGCAGCACAGGGTTGGGAGAATTTTGTCACCCCCATAATATCATATTATGTGACTGATGTTAAAAGTTGCTTCATAACACTGCTGAATGAGAGACCATCCATTGTTCTGGTTCATCTCTGCTCTCCTTGATCAACTCTCTGTCAATATCTAACTTCCTCTGTCTTCAATAATGGGTGTGACTGTCCTAGGTATTTTATTGTTACTTCCATTCACTCTCTAAATGAGGGTTATACAGTAGAACATTGCCTGAGCATTTGCTGCAGGCAATTATATTTCCTTAGTAGCTCCCACAATGCTGTTCGGTGAGGAGGAGTTCACCAAGTGGTGATGAAGGAACTGTGATATGTGTCCAAATCAATGACAATTAATTTATATCAATGTAGTGCCTTTCACAGAATGGAAACTTCCAAGCTGTTCCTCGGGAGTATTATAATGCAACGTTTGACCAGAATCACATAATAAGATGTTAGGGAGGTGACAAAATGTTTTATGGTCAGATTTGTTGTTTTGAAGGAGTATTTTAAAGTGCAAAACTGAGGCAGAGAAAGGGAGAGGTTTAGTAAGGAAATTTCACAGTTTTTGGCCTTGGCAGCTAAAGCTTGAGGGCACCAAATGTGAAACAGTTAAAATCAAGAATTTTCAGGAGGTTGGAATTGGAGATAATGCAGATATCTGGAAGGACATATTTAAAAAAAAAAAAAAAAAAAAAAAAAATGTCATTCTTGGGGTGGGGGTGGCCATTACTGGCTGGTTTAGCATTTACTGACCAGCCCTAATTGCTCTTGAGAGGGCTGGAGGCTGGAGGACGGAGGACATTACAGAGCGAGATAGAGAGGAGATGATCAAGAGATTTGAACAAAAGGATGAAAAGTTTAAAATTTAGCTGCGTGAGAATGGGCCAGTTGGTGAACAAACCTTGTTGTGAACACTCATGCGGGCAGCAGAGTTTTGGATGGCCTCAGGATTACATCACCTGATGAGAAACCCATAACTCCTTCCCTTACAGCATTGTGAGAGCTGATGTGGGAAGATAAAGCTGTTAAGACAGCAGCACATGGTTGGGAGAATGAGCAATGGTAAAAATCTCATTTAGATACAGTCAATGGAAGGAAGAAAAAAACACTAAACAGAGCTCAAGGGCACCCAAAAATAGAGGCAGAGAAGTAAGACAAGTGCAGAGACGGGAATGTGAGAGGATGGTGAGGAATGCGTAAGGATAGTTAAGTCCAGAGGTAACAAAGGAATGGAC